AGAGGTATTGGAAAGAAAAATTGCTTTCATTCGTTGGGGACAATATAATTGAGGTTTGCTAAAGTCAAGATCACGCAAAGAAAACCGAAAACCCCCTCCTCCTCTTCTTCTTCCTCTCCTTCTTGTTATTGCCTTCCATGTGCTGTTGTGGATGGTACATTGTTTTTAGCAAAAGCTAATGGTGGATGGGTCCTCTTGACAATTGCACCATGCCCTAACATCGCCCACATGCTTATTATGTACACACCCCATGTGTCTCCGGCAGAAGGGGTCAAATTCTTGCTCTCCCACACCCCTTGCCAACGATGCCTTGTCGCAACATTTTCTTCTTCTTTTTAGGGTTTGCTTGTTGCTGCTTAAACATTTTTTTTTCAAATTCATAATATATTTTTGAACCCTCTACTCTTATACTTATCTAATTGAAATATTTTGAATTTGTAACTTTCAAATGCTAAGTCCAATATTTAAATAAGTTTTGTTTCTGCTTAAGTGTTACCAAATCTAATTGAAAAATTTTAAAGAATTCGAAAAAGTATAAATTCGAATGTAAGATGTTAAATTTTTACTTTTAAAGTTTATATTATCAACACATCACCTTATTATTTCTATTTTTTTCACTTTCAAATTCAGACCATTTAGTACCTCCTATTTTAATTAATTAGTTATAAACAGGATGAAGCTGGAGCCAAGAATGTCATACGTTCAATCCAAAATTTCTTAAGCTATTAGGTGAACAAAATTTCTATTGCAAATATTTTTATACAGGAATTAAATCATGCAATTGCATCAAATACAATGAACAAAAGACTTTAAATGCTTTTATTGTAAAATAAATTGATATGAGTGTGAAGGCACGATATTGTCCACGGAACGTGTAAACAAGATCTTTGAATAAAAGCCTTTGGGGGTGTGATTTAGAAAGTCAATTGTTGGGGAGGCATTCTTTTGTTGTAATAACTTTCTTCTGCTTTTTGGTCTGTGATTAGCAACAAATCACAATTTATGGTCCAATTGAGATTTCCTTGTTTAACATTGGAGATACTATTGCCAGTCCATACACACTGCCGGTAGGAAATGTTTAATCCAATTTTTGCTTGAGAAAACCTTTGAATTTGAAACTGGTAATTAATGATGTTTGTAGACAGTATGAGAATGGTTTATAGTCAGGTGGGAATTTTATTCTATACAAATAGTTGTCTTCATCTCTTCATCCAGGTTTTTAGATTTGATGACATGGAAGATGTCAAGAGAAAAAGCTTGTCTGTGGAAAAATGAATACGGACTCTAAAATTTGTCCAAAAATTCCGAATCGGATTTGATAAAAAAAAATAAAAAATTTAAACTCAAAAAATCAGAATGTAAAATTATCCGAATTTGAAAATTTTGAATTCCAATGTTAATTCGTTTGATCCTATCCGTTTGCCATATCTACTTATCTCCACGGAAGCAAATGGGAACCCTCTCAAATTGGAAAATGGTTGTGGGTCAATGCATGTTTTTTTATAAATTACTTCAGTTAGAGTCTAAATGGGAGGCTAGAATTTGGATTTTGGAGGCTTAAATTTTCTTTGAAAAAACGACACGCAGTTATGGCTCTGTTAGCTCCTTTCAGCGTAGGGAGCCGGCAGGTCCGGCCATCAGTTGGGTTATAATCTCTAACAACAAAGAGGGACCAATTAAAAGGCCAGCCAATCAAGCTAGCATCGTTGCCAAGCACCTAACTGGCAGTTATTATTAATAGGAACGTACTTTTCAACGTTGTTGAAAATTTGCACAATTCACCAAATTTGTCGTACCATCCTTTTGTTTAGCTTTGCACTGATGATATCCCATAAAAAAACCGGAAGAGGGCAGAGCTTATTGGGCTACATTGGGCCAACATGTGTTGAGCATCAGGCAGTGAAAAATTGATGTTCAATATCTATAAATCCACCCTATTTAATCTCTAACAGCCTAACATCATAAGCCCATGTCCTCGATATGAATATCTGGGCCACTATAATCCCGTTGCGGCTAAAAAGAGAGGAAAAAGAAAAGGGAGAAAAATGAAAATTCCTTGGGGCTGATGTTGTTACCCGAACTTGACGTTGGATCCACAGCCAAGAGAAAAACCAATATTTGGAGAAACAATAAGGATAAGTGGTTTAAAAATCTGAGACCATCTCAAAGATGATTTCTTCGAAGAAGAGGGAGGCTACAAAGAGGCTGGATTAAACTCATTTTTTTCCCCAGAAATGACTTTGTGCAAAAGGAAGTTTGGTTCATTAGTATAACGCCAAATCAATTTACTTAGGATCCCCCAGTTTTTGAGTTTGAGATCAATGATACCAAGACTCCCAAAATCCCTGCCAATGCTAACAGCATCCCACTTAACCAGATGAAGTTTATTTTATCACTTTCATTCTTTGCACTGGGACGAATCTGAAGCAAGCATAAAGTAGCGATGAAGACTTGCAAGAACAGATATAATAAGGGTTAGCCTCCACCAGTTGAAAGATACTGTTTCTTCCATGATGCTAATCTGTTTCTCCACTTGTTAATGAGAAGTTGCCAAGTAGACAATGAGTTAGGTTTAGCTCCAAGAGGAAGACCAAGGTACTTAGTAGGGAGTTGCTCCACCCTACACTTATAGTAGATGCTGCCCAGTCTTACGACCGGAGATGATGAGGAAACACTTAAAAATTTTCTTGCTGCTCGTAAGTTGCTCAAGATCAGGTTTACAAAACAAGATTTCATCCACGAATTGAAGATGAGAGATCATTAAATTGTTACCAATTTCAACGCCTTGTGCGAGACCAATAGAAGTGGCCTTAGAGCATAGAATACCAAAAGCTTCAGCAACCAGATATTCTTTTTTATTAAATTATAAGTAACAATCATAATCAAGTATTACATTAATATATATAGGAAATCACCGAAAATAAAATAGAACATAACTAGACAAATCTAACATAAAAGTCGAACCCAAACCCACACACAATTAAGCTTGAACCTAGGATCTCATGCTTCAGCAGCCAGACTAAGAAGAAAGCTTCATAGCATTATATCCATAGGTATAAAGTGGATATTATACCATTGTTATAGTTGACTATTATAATATGTATGCTTTCTTGGCAATGCTTTCACATGTCTTTCACTGTCTACATTTGCAAAACTAATGGACTATTGACAACATTTCAAAGAGACTGCAGTTAACTCGGGGATCATTAATTCTTGATGCATACATCTTGATGGATATACGTGGGAATTATTTCATCAGATGGGAAAATCACTTATCCAATAAGACAATACCTTCACCTTCAATTAATACTGCAAATTACAAAGCTTTGGTACAACTTAACTTGACACTGTCCATTTAACATTTAAAGGAAGCAGCTGTCTGTATATAGCTACTATATATATATGTACATATTGATTAATTGTTCAATTTCATATAAGCTTAGCTAAAAATGGTGATGCGCAAGATCTTATAATTCCTTCGAAATATTAACTGCTTTCCAAATACAAATCAATATCATCAATGATATAATATGTTTAGGTTAAAAATTGTTCTGATTTTCATTGCGAATCAGGTTCTGTATATCTATATGAATATAATTTATTTCATTTACTATTAGTGAAATTTTTCAATGTTATAAACGAAATTAATAGGGTGATACTTGTCTCTATATATTTCTGACTCGACCACAAACAGAGAATTAATCCTAATTCTAATTAATAACGACCTAATTAATTAGTTTTGAAAAACTAGCTCTACGGTCCAATATAGGACTAGAGCCAATTATAACTCATCTAACATTTTATAAATAAACTTGACATGCGTGTAAAGAACACAACATAAAATTTAGAATTTAGTTTAATTAGTTTGTGTCATACACTCTTAAGAAATAATATTCAGGAAGTCGTGGATTCAAAAATTTTGCATCTATAACTCTTTTTCCTTATTCTCATATTATGACATTTTTTAGAAAAAAAAAACTAGGATAACTACATACTCTAGACATTTACAACAGTACCATAGAATTCCCAGAGAAAACATCAATGTCATTACTTAATTAAATCATTTTTATTGATGATGCTAACAAAAAAATGATTTTAAGGATTAGATGTACAAGTACCGAACGTGTTATACAGATTAAACTTAAACAATTATCGTATCAACCTGCTTTTATAGGGATTGTAAAATCCAAGTACTGGCGATTTAAATTTTAATTATATATGGCAAAAAATTGAGCAAATTGTCAACAATTTTACAAAAAATTTGTATCATTATTCTCAATTAAGAGCAAAAATTAGAAATGCAACATATGTTTTTCTCTAAATTCTCTTTGACAAGAGTTCATAACAAAGTTATTGTCAAACTAATGTCTAGCATCAACTGAAAAACAACAAGAAAATTAGAGATGAAATAACAAAAAGATAGATACTGTGTTACATGTTGCTTGATCAAATTCAGAGGATAAAATTTCAGGTTTTCAACTTTGAATTGGCTGTATAATTAAATTATATTTAGAAAGGAAGAGAGAGGAAGTTTGTTGAAGTAGAAATGAAAAATATATAGTAATTGTTAAACATGTTTACCTTAAATCAATATTCCTTTACAATCACAAACATAAATTTAAATAAATGCAATCTGTGGAAAATTAAAAATAAAATATAGAAAACTTCTGCTGAATTTCTACATTAACACATTGAATAATTCATATACTTACCTCAGGGAGCATTGATTATAGTTACTGCAATTCATTCTGAGCGATTCTTCGGGCTTTCATCCCAATGAACTTTAGAACAACCAATCCCTTTTCTCTTCTTCAATTCAATCTCAATGCACGCCCACAATCATTTCTAAATTCTTAAAATCTAAAGGAAGAATCTCACAAACAATGTTTTGTGCGAAAAAGAGAGCTTTTTAAAATCACTTTGCCTATGAAACAGTGCCTATCGGAACAATTTCTCCACTGTGCAATAAATTCTCTTAATACTAGAATAAGAACAGTCTACTATGGATCGTGACCGAGTCGAAGCTCCAAATCCACTTCATCTTCTTTCATTCTATTCACTTCACTATCATCTACATTTGTAGGGCCAATTTGAAGGCTCAAATTTGCTCCGGAAAGCTCTTCATTCGTGCTCAAAGATGGAGACCTGGCGGGCACAAGAAAGTCACTGTCACAATAAGCATATGGGAGTCTAGGGCTAGACACTGGTGGCTGAAAATAAAAGTGATAATTCCTTTTAGCTTCGAAAACCGGATAGTCCTTTGATGGTTCAGTTGGGATTAATGGTGGAACATATCTAGGGTTCATGTAGTACTCCTCATTCATTGGCTCAGTTGGAACCGAAGAACTCGTTGGTTGCTTAGCCTTGGCTCGATCTTTTCGGTGTATGTTCATGTGCCCCCCTAAGGCCTGAGCGTTGGTGAAGCCTTGCTTGCAAAAAGTGCACTCATAGGAGCGTTTGGTGGTTGCAGCCATGTCGCCCTTGACTGGATCAACCCGATCATTTTCTTCACTCGAAGCATCAGAGCTTCCTTGTTTCCCTGATTCCATCCCCAACCCCAAATTTGTCAAAAACTTTTCCAAATAATTAGTCTATAAACCACTCAGAAAGAAAGAAAACGAGGGAGAGAATGGTGGGAAAAAGGGTAAGAAGAAGAAACATAGAGACAAATAGAAGACATTGGCTTTTTCGTTGCATTTTCTTTGTATTTATATTAGGAGAGACTAGCTTTTGGCGTCTGCATTAGGACTTTTCCTTTCAACCGGCTTTATGATGGATCCATATTTAGTAAATTAGTAATCTATTTTAGTATATAGAATCAATCTTCTTCACAGTCTCACAAACAGACACTTTGATTTGGTTTATGAACATCTGATTTGTGCTCATGTTCCTTTCAATCCGGTTTCAACGCGTTACCCTTTTTCTTGGCACGTACATAATTACCTTAATACTCAATTAATTTACTATTCCTTCTGTCTCTATTAAATTATCACATTTTGATTTTTTATCTAATTTTTTAAACTTTACCTCTTATTATTTATATTTATTATTGGTAAAACTATGAAAAATATATATTTTAAATACTTTGAATGAAATAATTTTTAAATATATGTTTTATAAAATATAATTGATTAAAATATTTAAAATAATAACTATCAAGGTTAGAAAATTTTGATAAAAAAATCAACTGTAATAATTTAGTTGGAATTTTTATGATTAAGCTATGAATAGGAAGTAAAAAATGACTCACAGACGGCTTTAAAGATTTTCACCAAGGGTATTTTGTTTTCTAATTTTTGAAGAAAAATTGATCATTGCTATCTTGAAGAATAGTGTGAAAACCTAATAAAACCTTTGAACTTCACATCATGCAAATATATTTTTTGCATACAATATTTATAGTTCACGAGAGAGAGAGAGAGAGAGAGAGAGAGAGATAATATGCTACTTTCATTGACATGATCCTCATCTTGAATATGTGAATGCAAATCTCTCACAATTGACTGATCCATGGCATAAGGAGAACATTTTTCTTTTTTTTAATCATCAAACCGCGTCGTTGAAGCATCTTTGACATTATTTTCCAAAGGTTTTTAATAAGGTAAGCAAAAAACCAGATAGTTTCTGAAAATTCTTCCTCCTAAACTCACTATAGCAAGGAGAATTGACTTTCAATTTCATATCACCTCGTTTGTTTACCCTATTTAGATTGGGGAAAGGGCGATCATGTGATATATTTTTATATTTTAATTTTAATGAAAAAAATTTAGGAGGAAAATTGATTGGGAGCATCCATGTCACCTAATGGTATGCTTCATCATCTAAAGCAAAAAAGTTTTCTTTGAGGCTCATTCTCGTTAGCCCCCTGCCTATTCATTTAATGCAAGTTAGTTCCGACTAAACAATTGGCTCCAGTTTAAATTTGATAATTTTGAATATAACATGATAACATGATATTAAAAATTATAAAAAGGAAATAAAAATAGCACAGGTTAAAGTTTGAAAATATATATATACATATATATGTAGCATGGGTCTGAAAAAATGTGTATTATGTTTAATAATATCGACACAAATTGTAATATGATAATTTTTTTTATTTATACGTGTTTAATATAAATAAATATAATAAAAATACATAAATTATTAGATCTACTCCTGTCTATAATGTAATTAAAGATTAGAAGGGAAATGAGGGAGCAGATAAAAATGAATAAATTGATGGAACCCGTTAATTAATTTTATTTAGAAATCTTCTAACATATCTTATGTCTCTTAGTGTATCCTAATTTCGTTTTAGATGGGTAAGTTGAGACTAAAGACGGCCAGAAGAACGCGTTTGATCAGATACTTAATCTTTGACCCTACCCTGTCCCTTGAAACAGCTTCTTTTCCAAAGTTTAAATGTGATCCTTCAAGAATTGTAATTCTAATTAATTTATAAATAATTAAGATTTAAATCAGTCTTGTACAAATGGAAGATGGAGGTCAATGACAACAATTTAAGTGCTGTACTTTTTGCCTAGTGCCAGTTCATTCATTGTTTCATCACACGAAAGAATTAATTCAGAGAGGCTTTGACTTATCTTCTTCACCTCCTGTTTTAAGTATGTTTCTAGTTTCCTCATTAAAGAATCTCAATAATAATTAATTAAAAAGCATTGTGTACGTAGACACTTATTTTTCCCAAAAAAAAGAAAAGACATTGTGGCCAAATAAATCCGAACTGATTTAATTTCATTTGGATTGGTTCGAGAATTTTAGTGGAGTATTAGATTATTTTTATGTTGGAGTTTTTAAATTTTTATTTTCGTTAATTATTATTATTAACTTTTTTTTCTTTCTTATTTCTTTTCTTCCTTATTCGTATTTTCTTCCTTCCTTTCTTCATGGTCTAAGTGCATTCAATGCACTGCAATTAGTCTAACTTTGTCAGAACCCTAAGTCATCCGAGAAAAGACTTACATGAAATTTTGTAGGTAAAATTCTTAAAATATTTTATTAGAAATGAGTTAATAAAAATTAAAATCAAAAATTAAAATCAATAAAATAAAAAATTTTATCATATAAATTAAGTGTGTAAAATTTAAAAAAATTTTGATATATTTATTAAATAGACATTTTTAATAAAATTATTGACAGAATTTTTACCGTTAAAAAAATATTAATTCAAGTTAAATTGTAAACAATACTTTTAATAATTTTTTTTACATATTATTAATTTTCACATTAAATTTTATCATTCTATCAATTAAAATTTTTTATTAAAATTTTTATTTATTTATTTTTAATATGAAACTTTATGAACTCCACTTATAAAACTTCATGCAAAATTTGTTCAGCCATCCAATGCCCACCAACCTTTCAATGCCAAAGTCACCGATGGTAGCAAACAAAGTCTTCTACAATGCCTTAAAACAGGGGATTTGAACCCTCAATTGTTTCTATAAATGAAACATTCACACAGATTGATTGACACAGAGAGAATTAGCAATAAAAAAAAAAAAAAAAAAAAAAAGCACTACCACTTTGCCTAAACCAAAATCCATCAACATAAAAAAAAAAAAAAAACTATTTAGCCACATCCTTTTAAAGGGAACCAACACAGAAGTCTTTCTTTAAAAAAAAAATTCAAAAACACAAAAAAAAAAATTGAAAACAAAATTTTTGATCTAGGCACTTGAGGAATTTTTTTTTTTTTGAGAAAATCAATTTAAAAAAAAGTGTTTAGAAGATTAAGGGAGCATTTTGGGATTTTTTTTTTGAAATTTTTAAAAAGATTTTTGGCTTCATTCGATTTTGGAAAAATTTCAATTTTTTGGCCATTGGGATTTGAGAAGTAGATCGAGACCTGGGAAAGTTTTAGTTTTCCTGTGCCGGTTGAAGATTCAGATGATAGCATGCTAGAATATGGGTTTTTGCGAGGGGTTGAGTTTTTTAGATAGAGAAGCTCTCTGGGGAAGATAAAGAGGGAAAAAAGAGACAATAAAAAATATAGAAAAGGGCATTAAATACCTAATCTTAAATGATGTTGTTTTGGAGTTGAAGGAGTCGGGTTGAGCAGTTAGGATTTGCGTGCAAACTTGACCCATTTGGTAAGTTTTTTTTTTTATTTTTTGTTGATTTTTTTTTTGTATTTTATGATATTATTATTTTAAGAAATAAATTATAAAATTAAAATAAATAGTAGGTTTATTAAAATTTAAAAAAAAGAATAATTTTTTAAAAATATAATCATTGTGAAAAATCAAAAATTTAAAAATTATTGTAAGCAAAATATTTTTTAAATTTCATTAAAACTTTGGGATAATTTAAGAAATTATTTTTGTTAAAGAGTAAAAATTTAAAAATAATAAATGAATTAAAAATGATTAATTGTTTGGATAAATCTTTTAAAATGTAATTTTTAAAGAAAATTGAAAGTGTTTAATTATCTTTAATAAATGCAAGAAAAAACAATTTTGAGATTTCACCAAGGATAATTTTAAAATTATTTTTTATTAAAATAATGATTTATTTCAATAATAAAAATAAATAATGAAAATGAAAATAAAAATATTTATTTAAATAAATATTTTAAATGAAGATTTTTAAGGAAAATTTAAAGTCTTATTTATTATCAAGAAAAAATAATTTTGAGATTTCATCAAAGAGTTTAGATGGTCGTAAAATCAATAACAAAAATAATTATAATAATTCATAAATAATGATAATAATAATAACAATAACAATAATCATAAATAATTTATAATACTTTAAATTATTCTTATTGTTTGTGAATAAAAGAAAACATCTTTGGATGAAATTTCTAGATATTTTGTGACTAGTCAACTTTTTTGAAATTTTATTGGGTGAAGATATTTTTTCATAAATTCTACTAGAGAGTTGGAGAATTTATAAAATGTATAAGTAATAAGTTTCATGAAAAAAAAAAACGTTTTCCATGAATAAATTTATAGGAAATCAATTTTAAATATAAAAAATACCATAATATCAAAGTAAATAGATAAAACATTTAATTGGTATCATCTCTGAATGGGCGATGTGAAGGTGCTAATTTTTTTTTATTCATAATTGTACTTTTGGACTTAATCATGATTTTGTAGATCTACACATCTTTTAGTAAGTCTTAATTAATTTTAAGATTTTTATTAAAAGATGATCTTTAGGTGGCCAATCACACTTAAAAAGATTGGTGACAACTCTTGATTTTTACCTCTAGCGATCAACTCCCCTGAACAAATATGTTATGACATATTATTGGGCCAAAGTTTGCTTAGTAAGTTAGTTTTTTATCATTAGATTTGCTATAATGTATAGATCCATAGACCTATCACCAAAAATAGATTTTAAGAGTCGCTACCAATTTTTTTTATTTAAATGCAATTGATCACCTAATTGAATTTGTATCATTTTAAAAAGAAGTCTTAAGTTTGATTTAAGTATCTTCAAATGATAGAATCTAGTCTACGAAATCATATTTTAGATTCAAAAGTACAATTATGCATAAGGAAGGTTATAACACTCTAACAGCATCCATCCAAATGATGGTACCAATTTTATTTCAATTTATCCAAGCCTTAAAATATTTTTATAATTTGCCAAATAATTTAATTATCAGAAATTGATCCTAAAATTATTTCAATAATTTGGTAGTAATTTAAGATAACTTTCTCACCTCATAAGTATTCATGGAAACTAGTGTCTAACTCTGAAGAGACATTATTGTCAAATCCATTAACATATTTTATTTAAAGAAATCAGTAAAACCTTCCAATAATTCAGTAAAATTTACTTTGATTCAGATCTCCTAATAGTTTGGTGAGATTTTATTGTAAAATTATGTATGAAATTTATTTTAAGAAAATTCATTAAATTTTTCAATAGTTTGATAAGA